CTCTGGGCAATATCTCTCCATTGGCTCTGGGCAATATCTCTCCATTGGCTCTGGGCAATACCTCTCCATTGGCTCTGGGCAATACCTCTCCATTGGCTCTGGGCAATACCTCTCCATTGGCTCTGGGCAATACCTCTCCATTGGCTCTTGGCAATACCTCTCCATTGGCTCTTGGCAATACCTCTCCATTGGCTCTGGGCTACACCTCTCCATTGGCTCTGGGCTACACCTCTCCAATGACTGTGGGCTACACCTCTCCTCCATTGGCTCTGGGCTACACCTCTCCTCCATTGGCTCTGGGCTACACCTCTCCTCCATTGGCTCTGGGCTACACCTCTCCTCCATTGGCTCTGGGCTACACCTTGACTGACCTCCTCTCTGCTATCTGTTAGCACAAGTATTCCTGTGTGCTTGAACAAGTAATGTGCCGTCATCCGTGAATGGGAGGTTTGGAGCCTGTATTATATTCTACATAAAAATAAGATGTTTAAGTAAAAGTTACAAAAGGCTCTCTGTGTGTGGACTGATCTGTCCCCCAACCTCCTAAGATGGGGGGGTTCTCCAGGAAGCGAATTTGTGGTGGGCTGGACTGCTGCGGTAACAATGTAAAGAAATATATGTGGGGAGAGATCACGGCAATACTGGTCAGGCCAGGCACAGGTTGGTCTCAGAGGTGGGCTCTGCCATGAAGGGGCGATGTGCTGAAAATCCGCCCGAGCCCGCGAGTGCCTTGAGAGCCCTGTGTTCATAGTATTCCAGGGGTCCTGAGCCACTACAAAGGTAGCCAGGGCAACAAAGAGTTAATGGAGGCCTGGTGCTGCACAGCTGAAACCCAGGAAATGCACGCAGACCAGCACGCGACCACCGATGGGATCAATAGGTGGATCCCGCTACACAACAGTACTACACAAACTCCTACACCACTACGAACATCGACGCTGATAGGGAAGACTTGTTTACAATCAGATTACCATCTATATAGCCATTGTACTCCTGACCGTTGTTCCATCAAGATAAGGTGCGTTCAACAGTTGTCAATGGATGGCCACTATCTCTATGATGCGTCAGAATATGGACACCGGCACTCCAATAGCAAATAGGATACATTTATTGACGTACATGCAAAAACAGCATAACAACTGAAGTGAAGTGAGCAGAACGCTGTTCGACTATTCACTTCAGGCTTGTACAGCTGATTTTAGCCGTATATCGGGTGGCTTCCGGTCGGCCAAACATGCTCATCATGTTCGGCCGACCCGAAGTGCAGAAGGAGTTCGACTCAGCCGATTCAACATCTGGATCGGCTGAGCCGAACCTCCGGCAGGCTGCTCGCTGCTGCTTGACCTATTCTTATAGATGCCGAACAGCAGTGAGTGAATAGCCGAAGGCCGCTCAACCTCTGGTGATACCGAGCAGAATAGAAAAACAGTCAAAAAAGTAAAAAATTTTTAAAAAAAAATAGAAAACGATTTTGCGGCGCTAGCTCGGCCGAAATGTTTTCTATTGGCCGGGACCAGCTGTCATTAGAATGAGAGCTTGTCGGAGCCGGCGGGGATATGAAAGCCGACTCTGCTAAACTCTCATCCTAATGACAGAACTGTGTCTGCAGGTTAGCTAGTAACCAGCAGACGATTTTCTGTCATTAAGATGAGAGCTTAGCAGAGTCGGCTTTGGTAACCAGGGATGCCCATCTGTCATTACACACTGAGAACCCGTCAGAGCCGCTGTGATTTTACAGCGGGTACGGCCGGGGGTTTCAGTGTACTGAGGAGCTGCAGTGTAATGACAGAAGGCGACCCTGGTTGCCAGGTAACCAGGAACGCCTTCTGTCATCACACACAGAACCCGGCGGAGCCGCTGTGATTTTACAGCGGCTCTGACGGGTTCTCAGTGTAATGATAGAACAGCATCCCTGGTTACCTGGTAACCAGGGACGCTGATCTCTCTGCAAGTGGCCGGAGCCAGCCGTGAGATGACGGCTGGCTCCACCCAGCTGTCAGAAGCGGCTCTGACGAGTTCTCAGTGTGTAATGACAGATGGGCATCCCTGAAGCTACGGCTAGATCCTTCGACAGCTTTGTGAATAACCCCCATAGTGTCTTATGCTTTTTTGCATGTACTTCAATAAAGTCAATCAGGGATGTGTGTGCAGGTGAGGCAGAACCTCACCTAGAATTATGGAGGAAAAAGCTGTCAGCTTTTTTTCCATTCAGATCGGCTTCTATCAGGTTACACAGCAGGGAAAGCCCCCCTCCCCCCGCTATGTGACCTGTCATGGCGGAGCGTTGGATGTTAATTACAGGCAGCGCTGCATCCGGCTTTTGACAGGTAGTTAGGTTACACAGCAGCAGGCTTCCCCACTGCTTGTGTAACCGAACATAGTGAGGCCGGAGCTGTCGCAGCTTCTACTCCTTGTAAGAGGCGTGAGCTCTGTGGATGGCTTGGACCAATAGCAGAGTGTCATTGGTCCAAGCTGTCCAATCAAAAAAAGATTTAAAAAACCCACTGAGGCCATCGATCTCGATGCCTCAGCAGTGACGAGAAAGTGAGGGACAGGGAGGCTCCTCCCTGTCTCCTTCACACTAGCTTGGGATGGATTGGGGGTGGGGCTTTGAATGACTGGGGGCAAGGCTTCATACGACAGGAGATGGGGCTTCGGCTGGCGGGGGGCGGGACATGCTGGGGAATGCCTCACCCGGCACAAGAGGTACCACACGTCACTGTAGTCAATAAAGGGATTGACTTGGTATGAAATTGGAGCGCGAGTGATTATTTCATGTTACTAGCAGAAGCATCTGCTGTCGGCACCCACCCGACCTCAGGGTTAGTTTCCGGTCAGCGGTGCGATGGGACGTTTTTTGGATTACATATTCTGACGTAGACCTGTACACAGGGGGCCTGTCCTATCTGAAGGCAAAAGACTTGTAAGGACTTCTACATAATAGGACATCATATTATCCGCGTGGAGCAAAACTGAGCTCTTCTATTGGCCACAGGACTGCCAGCCACTAGTGACAGTGCAACTTCCTGTCCATTTAGGGACGGGGATGGCCACTACCATGGATTGCAGCAAATCCAAAGGGCCCAAAATTGGCAGTCCTGGCAAATGAATGCAGAAGTTCACCAGACTGAATTCTTAGTAACCGTAGCCTGTTCATTGTACTTCGGTCAGCTGGCTTGGAAGAGCCAATAAGGGGACTTTAGCTTTTAGGGGAGCCACCCGCCTTACTAAGAAAGGTTGAAGTCACAGCGGCCACATTGACAATGCGCTTTATCTGTGATAAGGGAACCATAGGGAGTGCTGCTGATAAAGTGCATACGGAGAGATTAGTGGAGGGCTCGTACAGGGTTAATCACAAAAGGGTGAAGGGTTTGGAGAAGGCCGGAGAAGTGAACAATCTAGGACAACATATCTGAACTGGAAAGTGAGCTGAATTGGAGAATTTTTCCGATATCATCTATTTTGTCCGAGATTGTTCACTTCTCCAAACTGTAACAAGGACACTTCACTGTAGCCAGGAAATTCAAGTAAAACTCAGCTTTATTAGGGACAAACACAAAAAGTCTGTTTTCATCAACAGGGTAGACTTCCCCTGTTGCACAAGACAGCTTCCAGCAGCAACATAAAGGACAGTCTTTTGCTCACACCATGGCCAACATTTCATGTACTTCTTTCTAATAATCAGCCTTCTTCAGCATACACAGTCTTTAATAGCATATGCAGTCCTTAGTAGCTTTCCTCAGCTCTAAGGTCTCGTTCACACCTAGGCGTATTGCATATGCGCGACAAACGCGCGTTTCCGAAGGCTACTTGGCTGTATCCCAATGGAAACGCGCAACAAAACGGCCCAAAGTAGTACCTGGACCTTTTCAGGCGTGGGCCGTTTTGTAGCGCGTTAGGGACGGGCGGAAATACAGCAAGGTGGGAACGAGACCATTGAATACAATGGGATTTATATTTTTGAGCGTTTTGTAGAGCGTTCGTCGAGCGTAGAACGCGCTACAAAACATTCAGGTGTGAACGAGGGCTGAGACTATCTGCACACCTCTGTGTGATACTCACACTGCTCTCCCAGCAGTGGATCCAACACGTCCCTTGGGTCACCGACCTTCCTGACCTCTCCCAGCCTCCCCCGGCTGTTCCACGTGCGTCCAGCTCGCACCTGAGTCTGCGTGTGCCCGTGTGCTTCCTCAACACACACAACTTCAACACAACCCTCCCTCTGAGCACTGGGCTGGCTTCTAATAAGGTTGCTCTCAGCCACTTGATTAGCCCAGGCTGGTCATTGGTAACACCTGGCCCAAGGACTGGAGATCTCATCCCACCCAGAGCTCTAAAGGTGCCCATACACTGCTCCATTCTCGTACGAGAATCGCGGGAAATCCCGCGATCATATGAGAATCGAGCAGTGTGAAGACGTTTCTACTGTACGGTCGCACGTCTTTTGTCTAAGGAGCACGCTAGAAAACCAGCTGAAAATCGTACGATTTTCGGCTGGTTAGAACGGTGCTCGGGAGACAAATGCCGAACGGGCCGGTGTGCGCACGCGCACACTGCCCGTTCAGCATTGCGGTCATCGAAAACCCGCCCCTCCGGGGGGCGGGCTTGAGGTGATCGAGAGTACGATCTGCCTGTCCCAAGATAGGCAGATCGTACGTTTTTTTTAAAGACTTTACAACCATCGCAAGACTGAGGTCTTGCGATGGTTGTAAAGTGTATGGCCACCTTAAGAGATCTCCAGAGCTCCAGATCCCAGCTACATTTAGGAAAACCTGGAAGGACCTGAAAAGCCGGGCTCTTCCTTATAACATTGTTTACATTCTAGACCCTCTCAGCCCCTTTGGCTGAGAGGCCAGGGTGCCAATGTTGCCATACTACACCGCGGCATTGCCATGCACTGCCATAAAACCCTTCACCCTTTTGTGAATAATCCTATTAGTGTTGCCGGAACTAGAAGTAGTCTCTGATCATTTCTACGTGTTTTTTTCTTTTTCTTTTGATCAATATATATTTATTGATTTTTCGAAACAATAATCACCATTAACCACAAATTCCCCAACTAATGTACATTCCACGATAATACATCATTTGCACATATCCCTTTATAATATATCTAAAATGCATAACCTAGTTTATAATCAGGGCTGTTGTTCCCAGTTCTACTAGTAAAATAGTCCGAGTGTTTATTGGGGTATCAACGGAGGGACGAAAATTGATGAATCCATCAGTCATGTGAATTACCGTTCATCTTCGATAAAGTCATCCTTTTAAACTCATAATCATTCCCAATGTCCTATTTTGTGATAACATTTACCTCCTGTAATTGCGAATAGCCTCATAGGGCC